CGCTCATTTTGTCTCTATGTCTCTAATCTCAGCTGTACTATTCCCCATGGCGACATCGTATTCGATGCCTAAGCCTTGAAGTCTGTACATTTGGAGTTTGCATGTTCTCTGGTCGCGTGGATTTTTCTCCGTTTTTTCCCTGCAAATTTAGACTCCAAATGCGTTTAGAGTATTTGGCTGCTTTACATTTCCGCGTGAAAAGCCACTTAATTGGGCTATCATTTGCGATAGACAGGTCGCTTCTGAAAAAGAGCTATATAGCTCAGTGGGCCTTCGCTGGTTAAATAAAGAATAGTAGCAATAATTAGTGGTGCACGGGGAATGGTGACGACCGTAGCACCATGCCGGGCCGCCCTCTACCTCTCCAATACGAGAGGTGACACTGCACCACGGGGAGGCCCATAGCAGGTTCGGTTACCCGTTGCCACTGATGTGCGTCACCAAAATGTGGCCGGCGGTGGCGGCGGCGGCGATGTTGCACGTGGCCTGTGACCCAGCGCTTGTCGAGGCAGCGAGGTTTTGTGTGGATCACACACACGTTGTCAAACTCGCTTCCCGCGAGCGTCAACGTTGCCAGCAGAAAGCAGAGCAGTACAACATCTGTTTCCTTCTGTACGGGGATCGAGTGTTGCCCCCTCGTGTGCGTGGTTTGTATAAACACTCATTACTTGGCTGAAAACATCTTAAATTAAAAAAAAATGTAGCAGGACCCTCCTAAAAAAAGAGTCAGACGACTCAGTGTGGTTTCCCGTACGAATAATGTAATATTATTTTCATTATTATATTAAAAAATAACAGAATCGTGGCTGTGCATACCACTCCCCACTATACATTAATACACAGACATAACACAGTAGAGACCGACTTTGTTTAGCATTGTCCAAACATAGATATTCTCATACATACATTGCTGGATATAAAAACAAAAACACCTTAATGGTATTCATTAAAAACCCAGTGTCTCGGGTGGCACTCCTACTTGGAGATTGCTCTGTCAGAAACAATAATCTCAGGAGCACAACCGCTGTTGACCGTCTGTCAAGTAGGCCAAGTCAACCCTGACTGGGATTTGAACTCAGGGAGGGACCCAGGAGCAAAGTGCTTTGTCGTGTGAGCTGTCCCGGCCTTCAATGTGTTTGTGAGCAGAAGCATACAGTATAGAGTACATATTAGCGTTGCAATGCGGCAATTCACTTCCCCGGTGATTTAATGAAATGCCAGGGTCTTGAATGGTTTAATCGACATCGCAATTAAAGTCGATACGCTTATGACACACTCATTGAATCACATAGGTAAGAATAAGTCACATTTCACGTGCAGTACATTTTTACGTGAATTATATGCCAATGTCATGCTTAGATTAATGGAAAAAACGAAGCCGAGACATACGCACGGGAACCCGTACGTACAGGCGAACGAGCCTGCACAGTCGAGATGGAGAGGAAATCAATTCTTGAACTGCGTTCTCTGAACCATTACAATTACTTAAATTGCAGAGTGGGTGAATTTCTAAAATGTGTAATGACGAATAACTCTGTCATTCAAACAGATACATTCTCGACGATGCACAAACCAGCGTGCGTGTGCAATGCTCTCCTTACGTAATACAAAGACACCCCATATAGCCTTAACAGACTGTCGGGGCAAGTGCTGTTAGCGAGCATCTGCCGATGCTTTTTACACACCGCACCAGGTACTCATTTGAGGCCGAGTCGCCCTAGGGGAGGCCCAGGACTGATTCAAACAATCGTCACTGGTGTTGGCCATGAACGGTAATCGAACCTGAGTCGCCGGGCTCGCAGCGTGCTAACCGCTACACTACCGCTCCCCATGACGTAACACACACACACTCGCACTTGGAGATGGACAAGGTGAACGCCAGGAAGCAGGAGCAAGCGGTGCCTTTGGTTGTGGGCGCAGCCCTTGCCCCTGTGGATGTGTGCGATGGTGTTGTGGTGGAGCGGTCATGAACCCAGGCGACACGAGTTCGATTCCCGCTCACGATTATCTGAACCGGTCTTGGGCCTCCCCCTAGGTCGACTCAGCCTCAAACGAGCACCAGGTGTGGGGTGTAGTAAACATCGCCACTGAGGAGACAAAGGCGGCCGGGCGTGGTGCTGGCCGCCCACTCCCTCGTGTGCCGTTCCGGCCTTCATAGGTGCTCGCTAACAGCACTTGCCCCATCAGTCTGTTACGGCTATTGCGTGGGATCTCTGTCTCTGCGCGTGTGTGGGTGAGAGATGCCTGTAAAAATACGGCAACTTAATATCCGCAACCTAATAGCAGCTGTCGGATGGGATGGGAGGATATGACGCCAACCACCCAAGCTCCAGGACGCTGTCTGCTGGATGCCGCTCGAATGTTGGGTTGATTTGTCTTCATTATTAGCGAGAAACGCTGGAATTCACTACGGGCGAATTACCGCCGCACTGTTAGGGCTGAACAAAAGGAAAGTCAGTGTCTCCATTCTCAAGTGGGCACTGGGCCCGATGCTCGAGCATCTACATTGCTGGATTCGCGCCAATTGTGGAAGTTCCACATTCCAAAAGGGAAGGGATAGTCAAATCCATCGGGCAGCCACAAAGCAGCCCAGCGTACTTAGCGGCTCCGAGGCAGAACTCGGCTAAATTAAGTCCAGAGCACATGTCAACGTCACGATGGCCATTGGTGGCCTGTCTGAGACCATGAATTCGCTACGCAGTACTTGAGGGCCCATTCTGATCACAGGCAAAGCTGCCCGGATTGAAACCCAGGATCTCAGCGGTGGAGTCAGCTCAGCGCTCTGGCCTCTGAGCCGCCCGGCCACCTCACATTGGCTGTGGGGTTGTTGACAGCGATGTGCGCTACCACCCCCCACCCTCAACGCTCGCTCAAGCATGTCTATGCTGATAAGTGTTTTCGCTATATGTGCTTACGGGTGTTAACGTTTGCTTTCATGCACACGGAGCAATATTCGTGAATGTAGGCATGTTTCAACACGTTGGGGGGGGGGGGGGGGAGACAGTGGCATGCTGCGTGTCTGTATGTTGAACTTCTTTTGCACCGTACGTAGCAAACCGTGCTAAATCGGAGGTACGGATTCGGGGGTATGCTGTTTGGTGTATAGGTAGTTTTACCTTGGCATATAATTCCTGGCTGTGCGCATCCGTGCAAATTTGTTGTCTGTACCTGGAGTGACCTCCTAGCCCAACCATAGCCTCATGTGCTGTGTAGGCCATGACAGTTGCCCGCTAAAAACACTCAACAGAACCATGTGCAAGTCAAATTGTATTCATTCTCATCCTCCGTTTGCCTGTCACAAGCCAGCGGTAGGAATCCACATTCCGTAAGAGTTTCACTGTTGACATCCCACAGTAAAATACCTGTTTTATCGACCAAGGTGTGATGATGGGTTGAACTAACACCCAACTCAAATATTATCTTTCAATCGTCTGATTCTGAGTCGACCGCTTGGGCAACAGTGCTGCCCAGCCAGATAAAAACAGACCAACCAGCCTCCAGTTATATGGCTGTGTGAGTGCTTGTGTGTGTGTGTGTCTCTTCGTATGTCTGTGTGTCTCTTCGTATGTGTGTGTGTCTCTTCGTATGTGTGTGTGTCTCTTCGTATGTGTGTGCACGAGCATAGCGTCCTTCATGATAACCGCCACACTTATTGGCAAGCTGTGTTCAATGATAAAATATCAACAAAACTGCTGCCCAGTGGCCAAATTGCTAGCTTCTCGGGGCCAAATCTGTGGCAGCACTGCCTGCCAGCATTGCAAAACAGCTGACGATGAATGCGTAATGTTCACCGATGTAATGACCCTTGTGTTCTAATATATACTCCACGGTGCCTATATATGCACTCGCTTCCATATCTAATTTTAAACGTGACTCCTTTGCCGCTACCTAACGCCGTATAAGCAATATCATGCTTCCTAATGGCAGCGCGTTTTGGGTGATTTTTATCTGTAAACTCGTTGGTGGTAATGGATGGTAAAATTGCACATCCCTTGAGCCCCCATCCTAGTGGGGGGTATGGAAAGGACTGTACTGTAATGAAATTGCCACTGCTTATGTTTGTATCTGTCTTCCAATTCAACACTCGATCCGAGTATTTCTTGCTTTCTGCTCTCTTGTGCTCCCCCCCCCCCCACCTCTGCACTCGGATTTCTGCTGTACCGTATGTCTGCTTCACTCGCTCGCTAGGTCGCTTGCGTATTCGCTCAATAACTGACTCTTTGCTAATTTGGGCATTCGCTCACTCATCCATGTACTCGTTCACACGGCTGCTCACTCACTTTTATTTCGCTCTCTCTAGCTACTATATGTATTTTCACTTTACTCCATATATTTGCACTACAGTTGTTCTTGTTTCCATCTGTCTCATTCTCACCGTTTGTCAATCTGTCATTGCCTGGCTGTCTGTCTAACCGCTCTCCTCCACTTTCTTAATTCCCTTCAAATTCTCCATTATCTATCGTTCTCTAAGATGAACACACCATCTCTCCCAGAGCACAAGTCCTCCCGAAGCAAACGGACCCCAGCTAAGACAGTGATTCAGTGGCAGTAGGCGGGATCTGGCTGCAAGTGTGGCCTCTCTCATATTTAGCATGGCGGCCTCTTCCTACTTAGCCAGTGGTGCTTGGCTAAATAGGAAGGGTGTTCGATTCCCGTTCTCAATAGGTAGCAAGTTCAAGTCCCAGTCAGGGGTTACCTCACTCCTTCATACCTCCAGGGTCGATAAAATGTATACCACTTTTATAATTCAATATTTTTCGTCCTCTGGGTAAACTGGCCACTGCCATGGGAACGTGGAATTTCCACCACCAGCTCTCATTCGCCGAAGGAGTTTAGCACCGCACCTGGAATCGCGAACCCCTGCAACAACCGGCAAATGCACTACCGCTCGGCCATGCCGTCACTGTCCCGTGTCTCACTTTGCTCTTCGGTGTCGCGTCCTTTTCGTCCGTATGGTCTTCCGCACGTTCTTAAATATTTGCCTATTCCTTCCGCCGCAGAGATCCGGGCGCAGCTGGGCGAGCAGCTCAAGTGCCTGGAGCAGCAGACGGAGATGCGAGCGCAGCTCCTCCAAGACCTGCAGGACTTCTTCCGCAAGAAGGCAGAGATCGAGTTGGAGTACTCGCGCGGCCTGGAGAAGCTGGCCGAGCGCTTCATGGCCAAGACGCGCAGCTCCAAGGACCACCAGCAGTTCAAGTGGGTCTCTTATTGTTTTGTTTATCGGATTGAAAGTAATGACATGGTGGATACGTCATTTCTCACCATTATTGCAGGACTATAGAAGGACATTTATAATTTATATAAAATATGATATAGTTATTGTTTCGAGCAATGGGCCTTCATCGTTTTAATTTGCTGAATAATGCCAATTGCCAGCGCAAAGTCAATTCAAAGTTTAAAAAAAAAACTCTTCCACAAGTCAACTCTAACCCTACATGAATGGATTGTTGAGATGGGCATTGTGGTGAGCCGTAGCTGGTCAGCTTTCAGATGCATTCCACTCCTCGGCTGCCACTTCGTTTTGTTATTGTTGACCATCGTCCATCACCCCTTCTAGCGATGTCTCCTGCACAAGCCCGCGTAATTGCTGGATAGTTTGGATGATGTCATTAACCTACGTTTGTTCTCTAATCCACGTGTTATCTTTACGCCTCTCAATGCAAATTCCAAGCATGTGTATATTCATGCTTATTTTCGCAGACTGTCCAGTTTGTGTCGTATATTTGTCTTTAACGACTGTGTGTCTGAACCACATAGTGGTCAGTAGTACTCACTGATTCAAACAACTGTCTTCCCTAGGCACATTGCTACCTTACGTTTTTAAACATCAAGTTTAGCTTTCGAAAAGCACTCCAACCTGCTCTCATTTTATAACTTCGACACTGCTGTCGTGCCACCTCAAACAAGCACAAAGTGACAAGGAAGTGAGCAGAGCCCGGGAGAGAGAAAGACAGAGAGAGAGAGAACCGAGCGGCAGTCATTGATTGGTTCTACGGACAGTGGCAACAGCTGGCTTACAGCCGTCAGCAGTTAGGGCTCAGGTCACACAATAGCGGAGCTCATAGCTGCCACTGCCGCACGCACAGCGGCGTCTATGAGCTAAGGGCTCGTTGCTGTCTGGCAGCAAGTTGGTGCCACTTTGGCAGGCCATCGTATGTGTTCATTGTAAACGGGCAACAAGTGCAGAGTGTTCAGTGGCCCTGCTAACAGCTGCGGATTAAATTAAACTGAAGAGGGCAAACAAAAAATCGTATTAAATGCAATTGCAATCATCGGGACCATGAGCTGGCATTTTGATCAGAAGTTAATTAAAATATACAGCTAGGTATGCCTTCGTGTAAAAGAATGTCACATCTGTGTTTTTTCAATGCAATTGCAATTTGTAAAGAGACACGATAGACTCGTATTGTACGTCGCGTGCCAGGATATGATCCTTCTGCTGTTATTTTTTTTTTACTTCCAAAACTTCATGGCCGCTGCCGTGCCAAGTGCTGTGGCCTGGTCGTGAATGTACAGAGGCTACGCTTGCCAACTTCTATTATTACACATCGCAGTCAAACATGGCCTGAGATTTGTTTTATAAACACAAATCAGGCACTTTAATGCTTGAATCAATTCCCGATGCGTGCAGTCTGCAGCTGTGGAGCCAGAGACTTGGGCCTAGGCTAGCATAGTTCCCAGATCTCCGATGCGTTTTCGGTTTGTACCGTGCGTCGTTCGACACAGTGTCCGTCGTTTCGTTCTCGCGTGCTATGAACCTCTTTAGTACATGGCTCATAGCGTCAGACATTGTGCCGAACGACGCACTCTTGTACACCCTGGATAAAAACACATCGGGGAGCTATACAGCATAACCACACAAAACCTACACACATATCATGGGACCTTTTTGGCAATATCAAAGTATGAAAAATAAGAATAGGTTTTACCCCTTATGGCAATAAAACAGGTGTTTAGATGTTCAAACACCAAATAGATTCCTTTTGCAAGGAATAAAGTCTGCATTAACCACACGTACTTGTGGTGAACATGCAAACAAACGTGCTCTGGTAATATATGATGCATTGTCTTTGAAACTGATTGGCCTACACCAGAGACAGCCTTCTTCATGGCCAGAGAACGCCAACAAGCGAACAGTACAAAGACAATGCACGTGTCAGAGAATGTATAGCTCGGGGTGACCAGCATTTTTTACAAAGACAATGCACGTGTCAGAGAATGTATAGCTCGGGGTGACCAGCGCTATACACCGTAGTGTCATCATAGTATCACCGTAGTCTCGCCATAATGCCTCCCATACAGATTGTATGATATGAAGAAAGACCTTTGATCCTTGTGGGCACGAAAGCAGAGCAAGTTGTCTTCTTGTTGGCAACGTTTGTGAACGCTTTTGTTTTATGACCAAATGAGAGCCAATTGAGACAAAAGTCTATTTGCAGGGGGAGAACCTGGTTGGCACACTAAGTATGGTGGAGATAAACTAACAATACACGCAGACATATCCAGAAGGACGGGACGATAATAACGCCTCAACATGAATGCAAATGAATCTAACACTTATATTCTTGGTTATTTCGGTAAAGCCACGTAGAAGGGAAATAATAAAAGAATACAAGTAAAACAATTACATTCTCACGACGTTTCGATTGCAACACAAGCAATCATCATCAGGTGTGAAAACCACAACAAGAAGATGTATTATTTCCCTTCTACATGACTTTACCGAAAGAACCAAGAATATGAATCTCTGCAGTCACGAAAGCTTTAAATCGGAATCTAACACTGTACACATAATGTGCAGGAAGAATCAAAAGTAAACTTCATCTTTGTATTGCATGCAAATACAAGCGTCGATTAAGGGCCCATTGCCCAAAATAATTCAGGTTGAATTTTTTTTTATTTCATGACCAATTTCTCTTCTATCCCGATTATTTGTCAGAAGGGTTCCTGTATTAATTTTTAAAGATATTTTTAGTCATTTTTTTTTATACAAGTGGGAGGAAACTGGAGCACCCGGAGAAAACTCACGAAGGGAGTGGGGGGGGGACACACACACACACTATCTCCGTACGGATGGAAACAGACGGGGATCAGTCCACATTGCCGTACTGCCTTTTGGCGAGCCAGGTTATGGCATATCGACGCCTGTGCGAAGCGGGAGGGGTTCAGAAAATGTGTGCGATCCACCGACCCTGGCTGCCTCCACAGTGCCGTACGGCAGGCCACGTGCTGTGTAGCCACCACCTGACGCACGCTCCACTCTTGTCTTGAGATGCGGTCGCGTTGGCACACCATACACCCGTGTCGAACTGTAATCGCCTCATATCACCGTGTCGTCGCGCTTGTTCGTTTGTGTTGCATTATTGACCGCATTTTTCTGCGTTTGTCTTCTGCTGTTTTTTTTTTTGTACTCCTCTTCTACAATATGCTTACGTGGTTCCTCTCTTGCCTGTCCTCGCCGTGCGTGGCGTGGCGTGGCCTTCCGGTGGTGTGGCATTTTCCGGCATGCCGTGGCATCCTTCGCCTGGCTTGCCGGCACGGTGGCACCTTTCCCCACCCTCCCCCACTCCTTCCCCTTGGCAACCCCCCCCCCCCCACCCCCCACAACTTTGATTTCCCACGCCGCCGTCCCCACCGCGGATTTCCGCTCAAAGCAGGCGAGATCAGAACCTGCTGTCGCCCGTCAACTGCTGGTACCTGCTGCTGAACCAGACGCGGCGCGAGAGCCGGGATCACGCCACGCTCAGCGACATCTACCTCAACAACGTCATTGTGCGCTTCGGACAAATCGGCGAGGACTCGCAACGCCTCTTCAAAAAGGTACAGGCCCCCTCCACCCCCCACCCACCCCCCACCATGGCTATCACCCCTCCCCTTCTCCCTCCTCCTTTCCCCCAGTAAGTTAGTTTTGGCGCCAGGGTGGCGAGATGTTAACTACCTCGCCTGCTATGCAGGAAGTCATGGGTTCGATCCTGACCCAGACGCCTATTGTATATTTGGAGTTTGCGTGTCTCTTTTCCCGTGGTCGCGTGGATTTTTAGTCCGGGTCCTCCAGTTTTCCCCCCCACATTCATCATGATCATCGTGCGTTTAGGAGTATTTGGCTGCTATAAATGTCCACGTGATAATAAGCCATTTCTTTGAGCTATCGTGTGTGGCCAGATCGCTTTTGAAAAAGAGCTATATAGCTCAGTGGGGCTTACCTGGTAAAATAAAAATAATAGATTAGCTTTGTCATCTTCACCCTTACCCCTCCACCCCCCCCCCCATGTAAATATTCATGCCCCCCTGCACGTGGTCCCCACCTGGGTGGAGCAGTGAGCCCAATTTTCCCCCTTTATAGGGCCCTGTCGGACCTCAATCCGGTTGCTATTTGCACCGTGTGTGTCCCCCCCCCGACCCCCGCTGTACAAAACGCGACTGGTGTTTTGTTCCGGGCTCACGTTGAGTTCCAATAAAAACATAAAAAGAGGTAAGAATTCAAAAAAATTCTAATTGGTATGAATGCCACCTCGGCGTTTTTGTTTTTCGTTCGCGCTGTGGCGGATGGGAGCGGTCGCACGGCAGTAAAAACATCGAACTGCGAACTTGGTGACCTGAGTTCAATTCATGGTCTACGGCTAACATCAGCGCCGAGTGATATCTGATTCGGTCAGTCCTGGGTCTCTCCCCCCCCCCCCCACCTTCACCAATCTGTCACCGACCAGCATGGTGAAGTATGGTTAAACAACCACCATACCTGACACATTGTTAGTCTAATTGGGGCATGAAAAGTTAAGTCTGAGAAGATTGTGTGGCCCTAAGTCAGTGGTGGAAGTTCCACATTATTACGGTGAGGGGGGGAACAAGTCGGCCTTTAAGTTCTCCGCTGTTGGCTATTGCCTTCCCACAAAGTGATACACATTTCATTGAATATGGATTGATCTCCTTTTAGAGATTGATTAAGCCTGTGTCTATGCACTGAGCTGGTACGGCTGAAACCCTGAATTTGAATCCAGACAATCATCTATCAATAAACCAGGCATTCAGGTTTAGCGAGAAGCTGGTCTCACACGAGTCAGCAATGATTGTGTCATGTCCAAAGCAGATGTGTTTCCAACCTGGACTTGAACCCAAAAATCTCGGCGACGGCAGGCTAGGTGACGACGTTTTCCATTAGCTGCGTCAGGCAGCCAGCTACTACCTTCTCAAAAACGGAGCGTTCGGGTAACTTAAAGGAAAATCAGCGTTGTACTTAAAGGTCAACGACAATTTAGCAGAAAGCCCGCATCCTTGAAATGTTCAGGCTTTCTCAACTTACAGTTGACTGGGGACTTTAGAGCTTTAAAGAAAATAAACCCCCAAAAACCTACGCAGACATCTGAAGAATTGGCCACTTAACCTGGTGTCAGATGTTGCTGCGTTAAATTTCACACCGCTCACTCCGTTGTTGCTGTTGGGTACCTTGAAGTTCCTGAAAAGGGAAAACGAAAAAATTCGAAGGGAGGTTGGACGTAGGTGGGTCTTCTGTATAGGTTGCAGAGCGGGAATTTACGCTTTTTTTTATATCGCTGAAACTACACTTGGAATGTGATTCACTAGGAGCTACAACACATACAAAGATACACGCATACACAGATTGGAGAATATTATTCAAAGCTATATTCTTTCTGTTATCCATATACATTTCTACGATTTTCAGAACTACTGTAGTTAAATTGTCCATATGCTTTTTAAGAGCACTTGCCACAACAGTCTGTTAAGGCTATACTAGGTGGGGATCTTTGTCTTTGTAGTGCTCAAGTGAGTTTGGGGTGGTGCTCATCTCCAAACAATGGCGGAAATTCCACATTCCTATGGTGGTGACCCAATTTTCAGTCGGATGACCACTGCTGACCCTTCCCAGCAAGTGGTGTTCATTTCCTCCGCCCTGGAGGAATGACAGGCTGAGTCCGAGCCCATGTCAGATTGCGCTTACAAAAGTATCACCTGTAACAATAAAACAACATCTGCCCAATCACTAGCCATGCACGGTTAAATTAAATAAATAAAAAACTCATTGTATTTAGTAATGTAATTTAAGATGTATTATAAGACAATTTAACAAGGTTTGGATGAAGTATATCATGGGGAAGGTTAGGGGGTTTCTTAATATTACATAAGGTTTCTGCACAACAATTAGCAGCTGTTTTATATTAATGCGAATAAGTAATTGGGGTAACCCACGTATGTTCGCCGTAGTTTTGGTGTAGATCGTGGTTCAGAGGGCATTGAAATCGCAGTGTTCTGTCTGCGATTACTGTCACAGATGCACTCCCCCAAGAGACACTGTTAACACAAATTGTACCTTTCACATTAGCACTGGTGTTTCACCACTTTTGTGTTACAGCATGTGAGGGTTTGTGTGTGTGACTGGAGAGATGAGCTATTTAAAAAAAAACAGAGGTTTTGCTTGTTTTTTAGATGGACTGCCAGGAATTCATGATGTAAATCCTCGTAAAAAACCGATGGATTACAAGCGTTTTGTTCCAAAAAAGATTCCACGGTATGATTTGTGCCAACGAGGGCATCCTTGCTGTTGAAGGAAACGGCACAATCTTAATCATAAAAAGTTTGAAAGGATTAGGCGAAGGCATAATCCCACTTTTCGTACATCAATCCCGTTTGTTTATATGTTATTTTCAGTTTAAATTCATAAATTGTAAGTTCACTGCAATGTGTGAAGTTGTCCCACGGAAGGCCACACTCATTTTATTTATAATTTTTATTATTGTGTTGTTTCTTTGAGGGATTTATTGGGTGGAAAAAGGGTTTCCATAAATGTTATTGAGCAATAGCAGAAATATATACAAGCACTGCACTATGTTCCAACATGCATCATATTTATGCCACATAATGCTTATGCGGCACGTAAAAAATATTTATATGTAACAGATGGCGTGTTTTTGTAAAGGCAATGTAATTTGAAAGAAGTGTATCTACCCACACTTTACTCCACCACTCGTAATCCATTATTCAATTTTACTGTAGCGCACGGCATTTTCACTGCTGGGTCGAAAGAAATAGTAGTAAAATAATGAATTTGACGCTTCCAGAATAGGAATCAAACTTGCTTTACGAGGTCGATGTGTTATAGTTCTTATAACACCAGAAACATTGAGGCGCCAGAGTTGGTTAGAACGTCCATCTGGCAATTAATCGGAAGACCGCAAGTTCACATCCTATCTTACATCTGGGGTGGATGAGAGGTACAATGCAATTTTGATTTGTACAGTATCATGTATGTATCTTTGTTGAAGTTGTTTTGCGCTGTACGTTGCCAACTGTGCTAGTTAGAAGTGCGGGGGGAAGGACAACAAACTAAACACAAAAATAAGTTCTAACAGTGGGACATGTTACGGAGGAAAGTCTTTAAACCTTGGACTTAAACAGGGGAAGGGAGTCGACGGCACAGATGGCAGGGGCAAGAGAGTTGGAGTCTATGGGCCATAGAGAAGAAGATGCGACATTCCACTGAGCAAAGGTTGACCGGAGGCTTTGATTTGATCGACGGCCTTAGTTCCTGGAGCACCGAGTGCATGGAGGGGATTCAGGTGAGGTGAGGGAAGAGTGGTAGGCAGGGGCAAGTTTATGGAGGATTTTGAAGATCGTGTGTGTGATCTTGAAGTTTATTCAGGATTGAATTGGAAGCCAGTGGAGGGACTGCAGTATTGGGGTGATGTGGCTCTGGGGGTAAGGACATGACAGATTCAGGAGATAGATGAATTTGCCATGGTGGCCATCAAATGGAAATACTTTCCCCTGCCAATGAAATGTGGAATTACCACCACTGACTTAGAACCAGAAACAGTGTTTCAGCGGGGAGATATTTACACTTTCTGTCCGAGGTATTTTTGGGAAGTACCAAGTTTAATGCCTTGGATGACGTCCATCTGCGTGTTTTTTTTTGTACGATGTCCCCAAAGACACAATCGGAGAGCCGTACAGCACAACCGCGAAAGCCATTGTCCCGTCTCCGCTTTCTACACAAGAGCAGCTTTGCTAAGGGATCCTTCACTTCCAGGTTCTTTTGACACAGTTCAACGATTTGTAATGTGTATGTAAAGGGTGTGGGCCTCTGGTGTTCTGCCGTTGTCTCCCAAGCTTTCCTCAGAAACCCTTTAATCTCCCACGTGGGAATATGTGCCTGTCGCCTCTCCGCTGTGTTGGCTCATCAGGGCCAGCCGGACAGCTGTGCGCTGTGTGCTTTCCCATCGCTTGTGTTTACACAGAGCCCTGAGTGGACAGGACAAGGGGGGGAGGGGTGGCCCTCTGTCTTTTTAAAATCTACCAGGCTCTGTGTAATCTTGTCTAAAGGTCGGATGCGGGGGGGGGCTTCGGTGCGGGGGGGGGGGGGGGGGGTGAAAAAGCAATGACTGTGTAAGGAAAGGGCGAGAAATCCGGTTGTATTTCCTGTTTAAAACCTCGTTAAACCGGCGAACGTGAGCTCTTGCGTTCCTCAGCACTAAGCCCCTTGGAAAAGACACAGTTTTGTCCAGCAATGTTTCTTAAATGGGGCAAAACATTGCACGTTATTTTTATCGTTTTAGATTTGTGCACCGGTTTTTACAGCGTCGAGGGAAATGGCAAAAACATTTTTCGGTCTATTTTAACAACCCTTTCAAACAGCATCGATCCTACCCAGGTGGTGAAGCAGTTAGAACGGTGATTCGTTATTTGTACTTTGTAGTTCAATGCTTTGTGAGTTCAAATCTCAGTCAGGGATGACCTCATCCCGTTATATCTCCAGAATATAAGAAATAAGGACCACTTCATGGGGAGTCAGTAATAATTATCCTGTG